GTCATGTAGATCATGGAAAAACCACATTGACTGCAGCTATTACAAAAGTACTAGCAGATTCCAAATTGGCTAAAGCTAGAGGCTATGAAGATATTGATAATGCACCTGAGGAAAAAGCAAGAGGTAAGTAAATGTTATGCGCTTAATGCTTACATGCTTCAAGTTTAAATATCGATATTAGTACATAGTATAGATAACCTCTAAGGTAGGTATGACCATAACTTGACGTACTTGCTTGATGTACCGTGCGTTCAATTTATCTTGATAACATTTTAATTCGCGGTAACTTTTTTGTTTCTGAAGGTATCAAGGTAAACAAAAAAACAAAATATAGGGTTGGTAGCCAAGTTTTTTTTCAAGTTACCTATAAAACAAAACACTATCAATTTTCTGACATATGAGCCAACATTATATTTTTTTAAATGGAACACCCTGTATATTATATATGTGTTTGATAGAATATCTTATTCCGATTACAATGATATAATACACTGTATATTTTAGTCCACTCGTTTTTGACAAATCGGCAAAAATATATGAAACTCTTGAAGTGAAACTTATTAGGCGGCGATCTGATATTTGGGGAGAGAATCATTGATAGTGCATATAAAAATATCATATTTTTGCCGATTTGTCAAAAACAAGTGGACTAAAATATAAAGTGTGTTATATCATTGTAATCGAAATAAGATATTCTATCAAACGCATATATAATATACAGGGTGTTCCATTTGAAAAAATATAATGTAGGCTCATATGTCATAAAATTGATAGTGTTTTGCTTTATGGGTACCTTGAAAAAAAACTTGGCTACCAACCCTACATTTTGTTTTTTTGTTTACCTTGATACCTTCAGAAACAAAAAAGTTACAGCGAATTAAAATGTTATCAAGATAAATTGAATGCACGGTACATGCTTTAATAATTCAATATTTATTTATTTTTTTGGCGCAGACAGTTTAGTTCATCTATCTACACAATTTCAAGTGGATACAAGGTAAAAGTGAAAAGAGACAAAAATTTAATAACGTGTATCAATACTGTAACCCAATATAAAAGGTTAGGATACAATTTAATTTTTTTCATGACAGTTTGCGAAGTGACACTTTTTTTCCCAGGTATTGATTTTTTACCGTTCCCATGACGCCGTGCGCGAACTAGCTATTTCGCACACTAGTGCGCGAAATAGCTAGTTCGCACACTGGTGTCATGGTGACCCATACCTGTCAGGAAACCAAAAGTAATTAAAATTCACCTACCATTGATTGAAAATGCAATTTTGCCTTCGAATGATCGATATTTAAATGCCGTTGTAGAAAAAATATTGTTTGCAACTCGGGCGCGAAATACTTTGGTGATCTCGACTATTTTTTTAACGAGGCGCAGTCGAGTTAAAAAAATCAGATCACCAAAGTATTTCGCGCACGAGTTGCAAACAATATTTTTTCTACAACTTCATTTAAATATCGATCATTCGAAGCTAAAATTGTATTTACAGTCAAAGGCAGGTGAATTTCAATAATTTTTTAGCATCCTGACAGGTACCTATGTGTCACCATGACACCAGTGTGCGAACTAGCTATTTCGCACACTAGGGTGCGAAATAGCTGGTTCGCACACTGGTGTCATGGGAACGATAAAAAATCAATACCTGGGAAAAAAGTGTCACTTCGCAAACTGTCATGAGTGTGCGAACATCATCATTTTTTGACAGTTGTATAAAAATAACTATTTGTTTACAATAATTTATGCCCGATTGCACCGTCTCTCTTAACCGAGGCTTAGAGATAACTATTCCTTAAAGTGACATTTTCCCATGCAAAACTGTCAATTTAAGGGATAGTTAAGCCTCAGTTAAGAGAGATGGTGCAATCGGGCATTACAAATACAAATACAAATTTTTGAATTTATTGTATTTTGTATCTTGTTTCTTGCACCTTATGGTATTTGTCATTGTGTCTTCAGCCTTATTGTTGTCCTGCTTCTTTTTATTTTGAATCAACCACACTTTAAGTGATTAGACAGCAAGCTCAATCAAGCAGATCCTCTACAAAGAAACTATAGGATTCTTCACAATTTTTAATATGGAAACATTAAGGAACTCTGTGATCAATTTAACACTATGAGCCCTAACAACTGGTGGTGATTTGGATTTTTCAATTTTAGAAAACAGGGACATATTATCCGTTTACAATCCGATGTCCACTGGTACCGGTAAAATTTATCACCTTTCAATGCTATATGATAGGGAAAGGTGATAAATGTACCTGCACCTGTGGACATCGGATTGTGAACAGGATTTTTATTTTTTTTTTATAAGTACCTAAGTGCCTTGGCACTCATTTCATTTTATTCATTGTTAATCATTGTCTTCAGAATAGCCAAACAGTTCATTACTAATTCATCTCCGTGAACTAGTATCTGCCATCAGATTCCTGGTTGCTTATTTTTGAAACAGGGTAGCGGCGTTCCCAATGGAACGAGTGTTCCGTCTTTCTCAATGATATGCAACTGATAATATAAGTAACAAAGACGGAACAGTCGTTCCCTAATCCCTTGGGAACATTGGTCCCCTGTTTTAAGAATGAGAGCCCTGTACTTCCTTTTATTCGACAAAATTATAATTCGCTTTGGCTTTCTGATCCACATCCCAAGGTTCTTCCAGATTTTCCGTTTGAGTTGATTTCGGAACTTGGATTTTCAAACAGCTGATGACGGGTATGTCTCATGGAAATCATCCAGTACAGTCGTGGTGGCAGCTTGCCTCTTGCCTCACAGTGCCCACCGGCTTAACTCTGGGACTCTTGTGTGATTGTGATCCCTGTTTCCATTTCGATTTGGTGTCGAAACCGCATGAGTATGCTAACTCAGATTTCTTGCCTCAGTTCATTCAACTCATTTTCAAAAGAAGTGCTTTCATTTTGTATATTATAGATAGCATTTTTCAGGAAAAATTAATATTAATGTTACTTCAAACATCCACCACAGGTTAATATGTTTTCAGGTATCACAATTAATGTTGCGCATATTGAGTACCAAACAGAAAAAAGGCATTACGGTCACACCGACTGTCCAGGCCATGCAGATTACATCAAAAACATGATCACGGGAGCTTCGCAGATGGACGGTGCTATCCTTGTAGTGGCAGCCACTGACGGTGTGATGCCTCAAACCAGAGAGCATTTGCTCCTTGCCAAACAAATCGGTGTGAAAGACTTGGTCGTTTTTATCAATAAAGTTGACACTGCTGATGAGGAAATGGTGGAATTGGTTGAGATGGAGATAAGGTGAAATTTAATTATTATGTACATAAGGTTCGTTTCACCAGGGTTCATACTTGACCTTGAAACTTGAAAAAAAAGGGTTGTCGTAGATTAATTTATATGACACATTCAATTTTTTGACAATTTAAAATGAATGACTTCTGGTTTAAGAACCGACGACGTTTTTGACGTCTTTGATTTGTTTCAGTCAATTTTTTTTTGTTAAACAAGGAAGGCAAATGCTGGTGGCAAGTACAAACCCTGGCGAAACAAACTTTACTTATTTGCTATAATGAAACTGATCACTACAGAATTGAGGATGGCTGGGAAAAAAATTCCCAAAAATCTGAAACCTGGCAGTTCTTCGTCAAGCTCATGAAATTTGCTACAAGATTGATATTTACTAAAAAAAAACTCATTTATTCCTAGTATGTTCATTTATAATAATTTGAAGAAAAAAGAGAAGAAAATTACTTGGAAATAAATAAATCCGAATCCTATCGTGCCCATTTATATTATGTTATTCCACTACACTACCTGAATTTTTTTATTTGAATGAGTGATGTTTCAACAACTTTTTATTTCTCATTTATTTTGGACTCAGCCTTATAAATTTTGGTTTCAGTTCAACTCGTCTGATGATAAATTATTTTTTTTATTTTGAATTAGTGGATTTCTTCTAACCATTCGACTCATAGATTTCCATACAAATACCCACCACGTTTATTGCCACTCTATCTTTTGTCTTCACAGAGAATTGTTAACTGAAATGGGCTTCGACGGAGAGAATATACCAATTATTTGTGGTTCTGCACTATGCGCACTGGAAGGCAAAGAACCTGTGATTGGAAAAAATGCCATTCTGAAATTGTTGGAGTCAGTCGATGCGCATATTCCCACTCCTGTGAGAGTATTGGACAAACCTTTTTTGTTGCCTGTTGAACATACCTATTCTATTCCCGGTAGCGTAGCTTTTTCCAAATAATCTTTCGAAAAATTTTTTTTTTAACTTCCCTAGGACGTGGTACGGTCGTCACAGGAAGATTAGAGAGAGGCGTCGTCAAGAAGGGAGCAGAGTGTGAATTTGTCGGCTTCAGCAAGGTTTTTAAAAGTACCGTCACAGGAGTTGAAATGTTCCACCAAACTCTCGAGGAAGCACAGGCTGGTGACCAGTTGGGAGCTTTAGTGAGAGGACTTAAAAGGGACGATATAAAAAGAGGTAATTCATTTGTTTTTAATTTGTTTAAAAATGTTTATTTTTAACCATATATGAAATGTTGTCATTACTGACTTTTCAAAAATTTGAAAATGTCACATTTCTGTCTTTTCATTTTCCTGGTCCATTACCTGTCCCAGGACGGGAAATGAGGACGGGAAATTTTTTCCGTCCTCATTTCCCGACCTCATTTATTTCGTTGTCACGAATTGATTTTTTTTTTTCAAGAAATTATGGTTAAAAATAAAATAGTATACAAACCTCGACGGGAAACTTCATTGCTGTCTCGAGGTTCAGTTTATATCGACGCTACGCGTCTCGATAAACTATATAACCTCTCGATCAGCAATGAAGCATTTCCCGTCTCGGATTGTAATATACTATTAATTCAATAATCAAATCTAGTAGTAGACATTTGTCATTCGTTGGCGAAAAACAACCTAAAGGTAATTCTCTCCTCGAAACGGTAAGCCAGCGCCAGCAAAATAAACCCAAAGTACCCCTGAATTCACCTTGGTACGTCAAATATAACCTTCACTGTTAGCGAAGGAGCCTACCTGAACAAAGTACTGGCAGAGGTAAATGAGTCCAAAATTAGGTACTGTGAGGAATTGAGCTGACTATTGTTGTGATTGTGGAATCCTCGCTACGTCCCAATGGGACTAGCGGAAGCATTTACCGACTACTTCGCCGGCTTCTTCAGTGCCAATTTGTCAGCTCCGTTAAGCTGCCCCCCCCCCCGAATTGATTTTCATTACCAAAATGCTGGCACAGGTAAAACATAGCTAGCACAACCTAGCACACCAATTTTTAACGCTAGCACACCCATAGTATAGCAAAAAATTGATTTCGAATTCGGGGGGGGGGGGGGGGGGGGCAGGTTAACGCTAGCCCCCCCCAATTGGATTTACTCAGCCAAAATGCTAGCACAGGTGCAAGATACCTAGCACAACCTAGCACACCATTTTTTAGAGCTAGCACACTCATAGTTTGGCAAAAAATTGCTTTCGAATTCGGAGGGCGTGGTTAAGGCTCGCCCCTCCCCGTTCGATTGGATTTTCTTCGTCAAAATGCTGGCACACATTTAACAAACCTGGCACGTAAAGAGATTTGCTGTTCCTACTCTACGTAGGAATGCAAAGATTGCACTATCGGAATATTCCGGGAATAGCTTCTACATGGGTACAACTCGCCAGTATCCTTGCCTTAGACAAGGAAAGAGAGAGGACGCGTAACATCCTTTAGGGCGAGCATTATAAAACTTCTTTGTGAGTTAACTTAAAGTTAACTTCTGGAATTACATGTAATTCAAAAAGTTAACTTCAAGTTAACTGTCAAAGCAGTTTTATAATACCCGCCCTTACCTGCACTAGCAGCTGGTTGTGACCGTTTGCCACCAAATAATGGCGACAATTTTTCATGGTGTCACTATGTGAATTTTACTTCAGACTAACATTTTTGTGATATTCAGCATGGTGGATTGCTAGCATATGGCTGCAAAACCCGCAGAGAAAAAAAAGTCGACGGGATTACATTTAACAGGCAAAAAACAATATGCTTTCTAGGTTATGTTATGAAAAAAGCAGACATTTTTTGGTGGCAAACTGCTTCATTTTCACCTGCTGTGATACGAGTCCCCTCTCTTTCCTTGCCTAAGATTCTCTTGCTAACTGCTCTTCCTCATTACGAACAGGTGTTTCGTAGACTAAACTTTTCAGTCAATGTCCCGACGGTGCAATCTTTTCATTGAAGTAAATGGTCAACATTTTGAATAATTATTGTAAACCTCAGAGGAAACCATAATTTATTTGTTAATAAAGCAAAATTAATAAGTAGGTAAACAGTGATTTAATTATTGCGAATAATAAGAGTACCAAACAGTTTTTTTGCTCTGCAGCCCAAATGGCTTATTTGCGGACATATGTTTATATAAACAAAAATGCTTGTTTTGATGTTCCTTACTACCCCTCAAAGTTTGTCGGTATCTTTTTGGGACACCCTGATGTATACAAAAATTTCAGGTATTCTACTTTTTCGCCTTGAGTGCGGAAAAGTAATGCGGAAAAGTGATACTTTCATGACCTCAACGTGCGGAAAGGTGCACTTTTCCGCACGCTCGTAGAAAAAAATTATAAAAACAGCTGCGATTAGGGATGTCACCTTTGAAAGTAAGTTGAACCGGAGAAAAAAAAACCATTATTGAAAGAAAGCTGAAAAAGAAAATCTGCAGATCTACAATGCAACAGATGCATTACACTTTACTATCTGTCTATATGTATATACACAAGTCCCCCCTCCCCAGCATCACCGGATGTTGCTTGGGGAAACTTTGCTTGAGGTTGGGAGTTGAGACGGTTGGAGAAAAAGATTCAAGAATATTACACACTAAACAGAATAGCCTATCTTCATAAGGCCTTTGTAGATCAAATCTCAAGCCCCCCACCACGCCAAAGATCCAAAGAACCAGTGATGACGTGAGCAGCGTGTCATTTTTCGCCTTGAAGTAGGGTGTTTGCACCACAGACTATGATTCCGCAGGCTTTTGGCTTATGCATACTTGGTTTTAGAACATTAATTAGCAATCTAAAACAACTCCTTTTTAGATCTTGTTCACATCTTCCTCCTCTTTGCCTATTATGTTAATCAAAATTAAATATTATTTCTTTTCATAAATGTCTATTTTAAACTACGACCGCTGACGCAAACAGTTAACGACACTGTCGATGACTTCGATAACGGTGCAACACTATAGTCTTGATTCCAAAAATCGAGTCCAATGAGCGGACGTGTAGTAGTGTTTAATATCCTTGAGGGAGATTATGAGGCTTTGAGGTTCGTGGGCTGTCTATTCTATCGCCAAACTGCATGTCGGAGTCGGAGAATTTCTCAATTTCTCCGAGAGAAACCGTATTTGCACAAACAGGATTGCGCTGTTGCTAAATTCTATTTTTCTTTTTTAAATGCGTTTTTTTTGTGTAAAATGCGGTTTTACCCGGAGAAAACACCTAGTAATCCGGAGACCGAAGACCATGTAAAAACCAGTAGACTCCAGGTGAAACCCGGAGAGGTGGCAACCCTAGCTGCGATTTATTGAAACAACAAACAACCAATAATAACTGGAATAATCAAATCGATCAGATTATTCATTTGATGTTTTCGCGCTCCGAATCTAGAAGCAATTTTTGGCTTCTCCACAGATCTGCAAGCTCTAAAAATTGGTGTGCTAGGTATTTTTCTATCAATGCCAGGATTTTGACGAAGAAAATCCAATCGAACAGGGAGGGGCTAGCGTTAACCACGCCCTCCGAATTCGAAAGCAATTTTTTGTCAAACTATGAGTGTGCTAGCTCTAAAAAATGGTGTTCTAGGTTGTGCTAGGTACAGTGCCTCTATACAAGACAGTGGCGACAATAGCGCCTAAGCTCCGCCCACCCGCCATGTTTTGTCGAACTCATTCAATAATGTATTTGTTCTTCCTTTTCTTTCTGTTCTAATTTTTTCTCACAAAATAGTCAATAACAGGCACAAATAACAAAAACAAAAATATATTAACACAAAATTGCATAAATCTCCATAGAATCAAACTGTAAACACAAATAACTTTCGACAAAACATAGCCGATATTCTGCAGCCAATCAAAAATGAGTCCCTCTATTGTCGCCACTATCTTCTATAGAGGCACTGTAGTGCTAGGTATCTTGCACCTGTGCTAGCATTTTGAGTTGACTGAGTAAATCCAACCGGAGGGCGCTAGCGTTAGCCTGCCCCCTCCCCCCGAATTGGAAATCAATTTTTTGCTAAACTATGGGTGTGCTAGCTCTAAAAAATGGTGTGCTAGGTTGTGCTAGGTATCTTGCACCTGTGCTAGCATTTTGGGTGAGTAAATCCAACTGGGGGGGCTAGCGTTAACCTGGCCCCCCCCACGAATTCGAAATCATTTTTTTGCTAAACTATGGGTGTGCTAGCTTTAAAAAATGGTGTGCTAGGTTGTGCTAGGTATCTTGCACCTGTTCTAGCATTTTGGGTGAGTAAATCCAACCGCGAGGTGGCTAGCGTTAGCCTGCCCCCCCCCCCCGAATTCGAAATAATTTTTTTGCTAAACTATGGGTGTGCTAGCTTTAAAAAATGGTGTGCTAGGTTGTGCTAGGTATCTTGCACCTGTGCTAGCATTTTGGCTGAGTAAATCCAACCGGGGGGGCTAGCGTTAACCTGCCCCCCCCCCCCCCGAATTCGAAATCATTTTTTTGCTAAACTATGGGTGTGCTAGCTTTAAAAAATGGTGTGCTAGGTATCTTGCACCTGTGCTAGCATTTTGGCTGAGTAAATCCAACCGGGGGGGGCTAGCGTTAACCTGGCCCCCCCCCGAATTCGAAATCATTTTTTTGCTAAACTATGGGTGTGCTAGCGTTAAAAATTGGTGTGCTAGGTTGTGCTAGCTACATTTTACCTGTGCCAGCATTTTGGCAACGGAAATCAATTCGGGGGGGGGGGGGGGGGGGGGGCAGCTTAACGGAGCTCAATTTGTCTCGTTGTACCAGCAGATGCGCCCAGGCGATTGCCAATGCCACTGTAGCAGACTGCCCATTAAGTCTATTATTTAGTTAGATGTATAATGGCGAGGAGTCTTAGGTCTTATTGACAGTGGATTGGGTAGTTACAAGTAAAATTGTGGAGAAGGTTCATTTGCAAATGAAAGAAAAATTTGCAGTAAGGTTTTCAACACATAAACTTTTATTGCATAAAATTAACAGAGCAAAGCCTAAAATTCCAAGTTTCTGATCTTTACAGCCAGTTCCTTTTATTTGCTAATAAGCTCAGAGTAAAATTAAATCTATGTTCTCTAATAAATTTCGAGCATACGATGCAAATTTATAAAATTTCCACTCATGTAATTAGACAGAGCATCAATAAAATTCGATAAAAGTTTCACTTATGAATCCTTCCAATACTTATCTAATTTGAAAATATAAACAAAATTCTTTTATAAGAGTAATGTTTAACATTATCGAATGTAATACCACAAGAGGTTCCAGGATTACCGGATAATACTTTTACCTGTCACGAAACGCGTTACGCAGCAACACCACGACTCCGAAGGAGGAGTGGTGTTGCTGGTAACGCGTTGAGTGTCAGGTAAAAGTATTAGGTAATCCTGAAACATCGAGTGGTATTCAAAAGGTTATACAACGAACTAAACTTAAATGCTTTATCAATTTTTATTATTATTATTGACAAATGCCACCAAGCGCGATAATCCCAAAAGGCTTATCACTTATTAAGCCTCTCGTGTCATATAGGAATAATGTACAGTGAGTTGTATAACCAATTGAATACAAAATCTTCAACCAACGAATCATTTAACTCGACAACAATGTCATTCATAAATCATAGATCATTTCACTTTATTTCTTTCAATACTTCTATTTATGAATTTTAAAAACGCCTTAAATTAATTCACTGTTTTTAATTTTCTTTTGAACTTTCCGATATGCTACTACTGAATAGTTATTTACCTACCTAAGAAGTGCGGATATTGGCATATATATTTTTTAGACTC